TGTGGACGGATGGATCAGTCATGTGGCCGGAGCATTTTGCACTCACGTGCGCTGGTTTTGCTGTCGTCAATGCCGACAATCAGGTCATCGCCCATGGCCCTGTCGCTCATTGGTCATTGACTAGTTACACTGCCGAACTTTGGGCCCTAATACATGCGTTCACTTATGCTAGTGGTCCTGTTCACGTGCGAAGTGACTGCAAAACTTTAGTTGATCAAGTTTCTTGGATGTGCACCAATCAGCAAGTGCAACCCCAATGGCCTCACCTTTCCTGGTGGAACTTTTTGTTTGCTCTTGTGTTGGAACGCCAACAGGTTGCCCCACAACCGCTTCGTGTTGACTGGATTCCTGCGCACCTGTTGGAGCATATCCCAGAACACCTAATAGACGATGATATGGCACGAGCCAATGGCTCCACCGTTCGAGATATCCACCACAATAGGACGGCCGACCATGCCGCAAAAAGAGCTGCGCTAGCAAATGCTGCAATCCAGCACCAGCTCTACCCAGAGGTTTGTAGTGCTGTTCTTCAACGTCAGGAGTGGTTGACACGCCTTTGCATGATGTTGGGGCAGGAGGTCTCCAAAGAGATTCATGAAACGGATGATGAAAGACTTGAGGAAACTCTTACACCTGAAGCGCAATTTCCCAACCTCCAATGGCATGCTGATCCGACATGCTTTTCTTGGAAATTTGAACACGAATGGCCCTCGGTACCCGAGAAATGGCCCTTTGCTGTTGAAGACTGGGCGAATTTCGGAACCTTCATTAAAGCACTACAGTGGTCATGCCAAGCTGACATGAGAGTTTCTTTTACGGAGCTTGCTGTCCTTTTTGTGCATTTTGGGACACCATGTACACAACTGGCTGATGAACACTGTACGTTCCAAGCTTTGGCGAAATGGTTAAAATCGTCCTTTGCCTTCTGTCGCCGACAGCTTGCAAGGTCTATCACGCCGGGCAAATATGAACCTCACATTGCCCATACATGGGGCAAATCCATGCCACCAGGGACACTGTGTGGTTGTCGACCCTTTTTCTCGGAAGATGCACTTCACTTGCTCACAAAAGTGTCCCGAAAAGTCACAGGGGCGGCAATGAGCGCCTGGGCCTTTCCTGTTGGTGAGTTTAGGTAGTTTTCTCATCCTTGCATGTTCAGTGGACGTTTTCGTTTAGCGCTCCAGTAGAATGCTGGCGCTACAGGCCACCTCAATGGAGGGGATTCCGACCGTGGCCGCGAGAGGTAGAAGAGGTTTGACAATCCATGTTTGTTTTTGTTTTCATTAAGAGCCTACATTGGACTCATCCTGTTAAGATCTGTCCAGTGCACAGCCTGCACAGCCTGCACAGCCTTCTGGCTAGTCGTGCAGCTTCACGCCTTGAAAGTGACTCTCCAAATTCAACCCACCACGGGACCACGCACCACTTCCTCCAAAAAGCCCCTCCTCCCTAAGAATCTGGGCCCGAAGCAATGGGAACTGGGAAGGGTCGACCTGAAGGTAGGGCCCAAGGATTCTTAGGGCTGAACAAAAAACGACTGTTTGTTTCTCTCTCTCTCTCTACCTCCCTCAGCATGCCCATGAAAAGCACCCCCATACCGCGGAACAAAACATCACTGGAACTCTTTGCCACCGGACCCCCCGCCAACTCCCCCAACTCCCGTTCACCCCCACGCTGACCCCATACCCCCACCGGACCTCCCAGTTACATCTGCGCTGCGCAGGTTACATCTGCGACACCTTGCGCACGGACTCCTTGTCGCTCTGGGGCGGCGATTTGCGCGTGCAGAACTTCGAGCTCCGCACCGACGAGTTGGCGCGAGCCGCCCGATCGAGTTGCTACGGCCGTCGGGACGGAGAGGGGCGGTCGTGGCGGAGAGGGAGGAGAGTGGTCGTGGAAGTCCAAACCCAGTGGATCCCAAGGCAAACCACTAAGGAACCAGGGAGAACCAGGGATAACCGTTGGGTCGGTTTTGGTCGAACTGGAAGCACTGGGACTCCTAGCCGACATCGTGGAAACTGCCTGCCTGGATGGTTTGGGGAATTTCTTCAGAAAGATGTGATGTTTGGGCCGTTCTTTGATGGTTTTTGCATTCCCTAGGGGTCCAGTCGTACCGAACCTCAGGTACGGTGATGTGTTCGACACTCTGACTGTGGGTGCCAGGAGGGTCCAAGTGCCTCCTGAGAAGGTACGTACTTGGATCCTTAGGGATTTGGGTTCCTGTCTGGGTTTGCTCGCGTGTTGATTGGAAGGGGGGTGTGGACCTTCCTCGTGATTTTCCCCAGATCTGAATCCCACCACCATCGCCACGAGGAGTGAACCGAGAGGTGACCATAAATACGCTTTGTGTGGAGAACATTTGTTAACAGACCAAGAAGATCCGGTCAGCGGATACCTGAGGAATCAAACCAAAGGCAGAAAACAAGGGATGCGGGATGGAAGTGTCTTTCGGAAGAGGGTAGACTTCCAAGCCATCTATATACCTGGAAAAGACTTGGGTTTCAATGTGGTTTCATGGATGTTTGACAGATTTTGCTTCAGACAGGAACCGAAGATGTTGAGAGGCTTCCTGTGTGGCTTCCACGTCTCCCACCGCCGAGGCCTTGGGCACGGCGGACAGTAGCGGCCTGCGCCTCACGCGGGGCTTCGTTCGGGAGCTACGAGTGGTCGGGTCGCCTCAGTGGTTCGGGCGTTGAGAAACCTTCGCGGCGACGCCGAAGCGGTAATTTCTCGTTGTAAAAGGCTATCCTACAAGTCAATGACCTCATGAACTACTGGAGTTGGTCATACAAGTTCACACTATTCAAGAAGGTAAAGGACCAGGTTTTACTGGGTCTTTGGACTTGTAGGGGCTATTTTTTAGGTGAAACTTCTACCATAAATGCCGAATGGCGATGGCCTCCAACCTAAGAGCGATGGCCTAAAACGCCTTAAGAGCGTCTGCTCAAACGCCTCCCTGCAAAATTGTCTCTTGTGTTCAACCAGGGTGTGCCAATGCAATTCCCATACACTCCATGTATGCCATGTATGCCTACATTCACCCCCCAAACCACCCCAATTGATCGGCAGTCTTATGGCAGTCCCATGGAGCGTCTGGGATTGGTGCAGGTACTACCCATCCTGGTACCAGTGTGGTGTGGTTGGACCGATCTCTGTAGTTGCCAGGATCGAAAGCAAGAACGAGTGGTCCAATGCTGGCGCCAGTCAACTCCATTGTTGGATAAACCATGATACACATGTTCAGACAGTAAAACCCAAACCCAGGAACTTCCTGGTAGGATTGCTGCAAGGAACAGATTGGCGGCTGCCTCTCCATATTGCCCCTCTGTCGAATTTTGAGCTGGAGTAACGAGGTATACTTAAAGCTTTGTGATGCGCATGATGCTTGTGCAGAGAACCCTTCTTGGTGGATGTTCATGTCATGTCTTGAAGTAGATAGAATATGAGAAATTTCAAAAAGCAATGGAAGATTGTTCTTGTGTTCGGATTGGTATATACCATTTGCTGCAGGATTGTATTTGTAGGGCGCCCTTTTAGTGTGATAAGCCCTGTCATTGTGTCATTGTGTGGGTTTATCTTCGGCAGAGCCGTCTGGATCCATGTCGAAGTAAAGAATAAATACTACTCATCACACGCGAACGATCTACCCAAATCCATGAAATCGAGCATGTTCAATCCAATTAAAATACCATTTGCAGAGGCAAAAACACATCTGTAAACAACTCATTCAAATGCTGTAAATAACTCATTCAATGCTCCATGAGTAAACACCTCATTCTGAATTTCTGGCGGCCCGGAGTCGGAAACCCACGGATGTGCTCCGGAACACCTCCGCCCGGACCGCCCGACCTCGGACAGGTGGTGCCCTGGAATGCCATCCGCTCGCAGTCGCTCCGCGTGGAGGACGGGCGATGGTCGACCGGTTGGTGAAGAGGTCTGACTGAGTTTCAGGCGACTTCTTGGGTAAGTGGATCGAATTGAGAGAGATAGTCCAGATGGCTAAGTAATATATAGGGATGATGTTCTCCGTTTATTTTGCCCTTCGCTCATCAAGAAGGACGATGGGCTTCCATGCCGGCGTTGACAAATGCCTGTATCACACATGGCGGACTCTGAATGTTTCAATCCAGTACAACGTCACGACCCTTCTGTGATTCAAAACACCCTTTTACTTTGAGCCAATTGGAGTGCAGATTGGGTAAGTTGTCCAGAAAGCACCCGCAATACTATTTGAGGCATTCAAAACCACCTCTTGCAGGGGTCCTGGTGATTATGGGTTGACTGATTGCCATGAAGCGCCTGGCCCACTTGCCCATTTCACCGAACCGTGGGGCTGGCGGTCGGTTTTCTTTGCTCCTTTCTGTATTGAGCAATCTCGTCAACGTCCGGGATCCACACCCACAGCTTGTATGCACACCCCGGATCCGGTCAACATGACGACCCGCTGCTCCTCCGAGGGACCCATGTATTCGCTCGCGGCGTGTTGAACCACACGACACCGAGAGCACCGAGCAGCGAGACGACCCGCGCATCACCGAACGTCCCAAGGATCCGGGGCTCAAAGAGGATGGAATTATGACCGGTCCAGACTGATCCGAAGATGCTGGGTATCTAGCTCGCGGTATGGTTTTGAACCTGAAAGAGTCGGCAATCAGTGCGCCTGAAAGAACACTGCAAGGCGAATCATCCACAAGAACAGACCGGAGCCTGGATTTGGACCCAAATTCAAAAGAAACGGCCTGAAGGAACTGCTCCAGAACAATCCACTGAGGCTTATGAGGCAAATTGACGTAGGTGCGTGCCATAGTGTTTGATCGGAATTCCAAGCAAAGCCAAGGGAGGCCGAAGCCACAAAAGCGGGTTGAGAATCAACCCCGAACAACCACAAAACGACTTGTTCTGCCAATTGCCTTGGTCCATCTTAGTCCCATTGTTAAGATCCACTTCAACACAGACTCTCATCCATTCGCCCAGCACCGCGGAAAAAGAACAGCACCGCACAAACGTCTAAATCGTCCAATCACCCGACGCGCGAGCCTCGTTGGACGCCATGGACGTCCAACTGCACCGATTGGATTTGTTGCAATGCGGCGCCTTGCAGCCTGGCACTCTGGAAGTCTTGCCCGTCGGGAAAAAGAAGCAGCAGAAGATCGCGGTGGGGGATGACAGCGGGGTCCTACAGGTCTTTTACTTGAAGAAGGGAGAGGCGCTTCTCCGACGTCGGCGGCCGGGTCTTTCGCGCGCCGGTGCGGTGCGGGACTCGCCCTGAAGTCGTTTTCAACTCAGGGGGGCCGGATTGGGCAAAGAGGTGGAGGTTTTGAGCGAGACCACTGCTCAGATCTCTGAAGCAATGATAACAAGGCATAGACACGTTGGCAGAACTTGTTAAAGAAAACAACTTGGCCTGGGAGTCAAAGACCATTAAAACAATGGTTGACCTGGTTTTTGTATTGTAAAATCCTTAGTTGATTGGGTAAAGCCTATTAAATTAATGGTGATTGGAAGAAAAGAACTTGGCATCATCATTTTCAGCATACTTGGTCTTGCGGCTGTCTTGGAATGCGATGGCATGCGCGGATCCATGAGATATTGTGATCCGGATCATGGTTACTTTCCAGCAAACAGAAAGTCGATCAACTCACATGGCTCACATGAGAAGAGTAATGAAGAGAAGTAAACTCACCATTTGTCACCCTTCTTCACTCATGTTTCACCAATTCTCTAGCTCCCTTCTACCGCCCTAAGCCACCACTCGTGGCAGTTGTCTAAGCTCACTTCTCCCGTCGTTCTCCGCGCGTCCGGCAGGTGCAGTACGAGTGGAAGTCTCCGGCACTGGGGCGAGAGATCAGCTCCGTGGTGATGCAGATGGCAAAGGATAAGATCTTCGTGGGCTGCGGCCAGTCCATCCATGGCTTCACACGGAAGGGCAAGGAGTGGGAAGGGGAGTGGGAGGATGGAGGGTCGGGAGGTATAGGCCATACCGTAGACATCATGACACTAGCAGATGAAGAACTCCAAAAAATTGTCCCTCCTATAGGATGGAGGGTATTTGTTCATGTGTTTTCACAATGCTGGATCGAAGGTAAGGTGATTGAATTTGTCCAATTCTTGACGCTGCTGGCTTTTGCGTACTTATGTGAAGTTCGCTAGTTTTTCACGATGCCCACATCAAGTTCAACGCATGAAGCATTTGTTGTGGCTTCCTCTTGTCATGGTCCACATGAATAGAAATATACCCAGATGCTCCGTTCACCGCCCTTTCCCGCTCCCGAACCAAACTGGATTGCTTCGTTGCTTCCCAGACCCCTCCGGTCCGGATTCGGGTCCGACCCCGATTCGGGGCAAGGGGGTGGTGTGACCTGGGTCACATCAAATTACCCCCCCTACAAGTCCAGTCTGACCCAGTAAAACCTGGTCCTTGACCTTCTTGAATAGTGTGAACTTGTATGACCAACTCCAGTAGTTCATGAGGTCATTGACTTGTAGGATAGCCCTTGCGAAGGGGCCTCCACCGAGCGGACGAGCTCGTGAGGAGTTCGTGAAGATCAAGACGAACCTCACCGAGACGATTCACCATTTGTTCGTGGAGGAGAACATGATTTGGACTGGAGGAGAATATATCCTGAACATCTATGACAACTGCAAGGACTATGGCTTCGTCACCTGGAGAAGCATGAAAGCATGACAGAATGAGGAAGTCTTCAACATATATGTTTGAATAACATGTGGCGGGTCTTAAGATCATCACTTCCCACTCGCAACAGTTGGTAGAGAAACACGCATAGAATGCATAGAAATTATCCACCATTATCCACCCATTTTGAGTCACACTGAGTTGATTCCCTTTCAGATGCAGGGGGGAGTCAAACCCTTGGATTCCAGACGAGCCAGGAGTACCCAGTTAGCACCCAGGAGTTCACTGGATGTTTTGCAGGTCACGTTTTTTGGGTGGGACTGGGGCAAGCCCATTTGACCCATAAACAGGTTGACCTTGATTGGTGAGTGACCCACCTCACGATACATTTTTGGCGGCTTGATCAAGTGAAGAAACACCCCTGGAGGGAGGATGCTACGAAATGGACATGGAAGGGCTACTCGAAATGCACACATGTGTTCTTGTCTATTTAGTGTTGGCATGAACATCCTGCCAGGACAGACATTCCCAGATTCTCGATTCTCCATTTTCCCTCTTTTCTTTGCCACTCTTCTTCAGACACTTCCCTATTAATACCGGAACCGTGTTCGTGTCCTTTTTCCCGGGACCTCGGGGTCCTTCCATCCAGGTCATGACGAAAGATCGAATCAACGACCTCACCTGCGCTCCGGTGTATCCGGGAGAGATCCTCAGCACCATCGTGGCCTGTCAGGAGAGGGCGGTGGAAGCGGCGACCGCTGTTTCATGGGTGATCTGCGGTGAAGCAATCCCGAGGTCGGTTGGTTCTTGTAATCAGTGTGGTTTATGGCAGCTGGTTTTCTCATGTTTTCTCATTATTCCGTTTTTTTCCTTCGGACTAGCAACAGTGCAGCAACCAATGAAGCTACAGGTAGTGGTACTTTCTTGTTCAGGGACCTCACTCAACAACGACAGAGGTATTTGTTTGGAGCCTCGGCGTCGAAGAAACGTTGAAGGGGGCACATAAATATGCACCAAGTCCCGCAGGGAGACACGCGAGGGAAATCCAGTTTTGAGCACTCATAACATCTCATAACACCATGATCATAGAATTTAATCGTTGAACATGTCAGTAGTTGTAACACACAAAACTGGAATAAGCTGGATCTAGTGCTGGATCAATTTTTATTTAATTAACACATTCTGACTCAGTCTGACTGCTTTGCCGCGGTGGTTCCCTGTCTCCGTTTGAGCCAATGGGTTTGAAAGCATGTTGAGGTTAGAGAAGGTATCCATCCAAGAAGGTTCAGACTTCAACAAAAGCGCTACTAGTAACAAGGGCATTACTACTAGTAGTAACAAGTTGTTTTTCCTCCTCCTCCTCCTCCTCGTTTTCGCCTTCCAAGCAGGACAAATGCTTAAGAGTCTTCCAGGGAGAAAAGGTCTTTCACGAGTTCGCAGTGGAAGGTTCGGCGACTGCCTTGGGCTTTCATGGCCTCAGCCTCTTGTCTAAAAAGGTGAGATGCCTTGTCTAAGCCGGTCATTCGAAGACTGAATAAACTGACAGCATTGGTCCAAATCCCCTGAATAGAACCGCCATATTCTGTGAAAAGCAATCGGACTCTTGTGTGTTAACCTCAGAGGGCATCCGTGAGCTATTCGATATCCCAAAAGTCCTGCGGCAGGGACCATTTCGAAACGGATCTACATCCAAGCCATGGTAGCTCAGCTTCCTGCACAGCATTCACTGGATGTTTGGTGGATTCACAAGAGAATACAGAGCCCATAGTATAAGCATGTATATATAAGCACAAAAGTATGATGATAGTAAGTGACTCGTACCAACATAAATATGTTGTTGGTGTCAATCACAATAAGCGACTGATTATAATATGTTTGTTGGCAATGATCAACCATCATGATAATCATAACTTCAAGTGATTCTCCCACGGTGTCACCCAAATTTCACTCGGTGTCATCATGATAATCAAAACTCGGTGTCTCCCCATTCTCGCTCAGTGTCACAATGATCCCACAGTGACAGTGTCACCCAAATGTCAGGGATTCTTTCCTTCATCTCGAAAGGGACAACAGCGGCGAACGTCACACGTGACAGTGACAGTGTGGGTCGATGGCTCGCCGTCGCAGTGACGATCATCGGACGTATCGGTACCCAGGTCCGGTGGACAACCCTGCGCATCATGTGGGAGATCCAGTCCAGATGATCTATGGCACTGAGCAAGGCAGATGATCTAAACACGGCCCGGATGGGCATGGGCTCTCTTCGTCCGCCCCCTCCGTTTCGGTTCGGTGGGACAGGGGTGGGTGACAGGGGGGTGAGCCCTAGGGATAGAAAAGGAAGATCCTGAAATCCGTTTTTGTCTAGTGGAATCAGGTGAGTGGATGTTTACATCATGTCAGTATAGAGTTGCATGATATTTCTCATGTTTTGCCAATGACCGTCGGTCTTTGCGAAGGTGAGCCCGTGTGTCTTTTGGGTGGAGAATGAATTCTATCGCTTCTGACTGCCCGGAGCGGCACGTGGACTTGATGTTGGAGGATCTCCCGAAATGTGTCCAGCCCAACAGAGCTCTGCCCAGCCCGAAACAGAACGTGGAGGATCTTCATTTCTTTCGATGCTTTACTGGACTGGAAAGCATGACCAAAAAAGCCATCTTCCCACCAAACAAAAGCCATTTTGGGTCAATCTAAGGCACACCTCGCCTTCGGAGGTGACCCACGTGATCGGTGATCTTTACAGATCCAAAGCAGTCGACAAAAGAGATGATAGCCTCACATAGACGCCTCACTAGCTGCGCTTGATTGGTTTCTGTGGGTTTGTATCAGTCTATGAATCGAACACTCCCACCTGAAGGAAAGTCTTGTACAACCACCCGGGTGCGAAGTGTTTGGTGGACTTTTGCTATAAAGCACCTCCCCGCAATCTTTGATTCTGTAATTCATTAATTTTCTGCCTATGCATGTTCAGTGGAGTTACTATTGACAGACATATCAAAATATGTCAACACCACCATCATTCATCCATTCTTCGTGTTAGGTTGGAGGCCATCGCTAGTAGGTTGGAGGCCATTGCTTCTAGGTTGGAGGCCATCGCTAGTAGGTTGGAGGCCATCGCTTAGTAGGTTGGGGGCCATCTCTACTTCCCTTTCCGGCACCTGCACCAGGCGTGGTGGGCCTTTGTTCTTTGGATGCCAAGTCCATGCGCCGCACCGGCGGCGTCTCCGACCGGCAAAACCGCCCGGGCGTGGGCTCCGGCGCTTCGTCGCGGCGCCCGCGGGTGTGCTGCTTGCACACGGCGGATGTGGTGAAGAGCGGGGCCTTGGAATCTTGGGCGTTCAACAAGGTCGGAATCATTTCCCAGACACTCCATGTATCCCAGACACTCCATGTATGGTATATATATGCCTACATTGGGGTGGTTTGAGGGGTCAATGTAGGCATATATGGCATATATGGAGTGTATGGGTATGGCATATTTACATCCATTGACCCCAGGTCAACCACCCCTGGCCTGATCGGTAAATATGCCGATCCCATGGAGTGTTTGGGTTTGTTGGGTCCTTGTTTTCAGGGTCAAGTTGGTGTTGGGGTCTTTGCACTTGACGGTATGTGGAGCAAATGTCATGTAGAACTTCTAAACTCTGGGACTCTGTAGACAACACCTGTAGACCATTGCCATACCCTAAAGATCCACATGCCCTCTGAGGTACGGTCATTGGACCCGACTTTAGCGCCTATCTTTAAGAGAGTCTTCCTGCTTACCGTACCTAAGAGGGTGGCAGTGGATCCCTATAGGGATATTGTCAGATGCAGCTTGATCATCCCTCATGGGACACTCAACTCATCCTTAAGAACTCAGCTTGGTGATCGGATCGCGACCGTGGTCATCGGACGTGATTGATGTGAAAGTCCTGGTTGAGTAATAGTGAGCTCCCGAATGTGGATCAAGGTAAACCATACAGTATGTGGATCATCGGTGTTCCTCACTTTGGGGGGATTGGAGTTTTCTCCACTCAACACATGAATAGGTGGAACAAAAACTTAACCTCTTACTTGTATGTTCCAGAGTTAAACAAACATCTGGGGAGTAAGAGGTGATGTATTGTTTTTCCGGATGAAGCTGATCGAATTGAAATCTGGGGTCCAGCATCACCCATGTGTCTAATTCGCAACACAACGATCACAACACCTCAACATGGCATAAGGACATAAGGTGACATATATGACATAAAGCTTATAAAAGCATACAACATGAAGTCTCAAAGTACCTCAGAAACCGATAAAAACCAAGCTTTCCGCTGCCCGGACCGGACCGAGGTCTCGGGTCAAGACGGACCGTCCGTCTCCGCTCCTCCCGTGCGAGGCTCGGGTCCCTCAAGTCCAGTCGATCGGTCAGGACCCGAACCGTTCGGCGATTCCGAGCTTCGGTACTCCGACGGTTTTCCGGTCACGTGGTCACTGGATCACTGGATACCTCTCTGGGGGGCCAGGGGGATGGGGGGCGGCCAGGGGGGCGGCCTCGAAGTGACCCAACTCATCTCTCTAGGATCTCCTCGTGGGGCGTGATGATGGGACCCTGGAGCTCTGGAACTTGGGTGATGCGGCAGCCTTTGCCTCTCAACGACTGGAGCAAGCGCCGACACCCTTGTGGGAGACCTGCTTACAGGTGACCAGGCAGCAACTGGAGGCCGAGCTTTTCTATTTTTGTTTGACCTTCCGCTACAATTAGTAGGTGCAATGACATCAAAGCAATTCAAAGCATATATGTTTTGTTGTTACAAACAAAAACTCTCTACGTTTGTTTGTCCAAAAAACACATATGTTTTCCATTTGCCCATTGTTTACCCTGTTGCCACTGGCAGTGAAAAGTCTGCCAATCCTAACCTGAAAGTTTTGGACATGCCTCATGAAAACTCTGCTCAGCTTTGGCATGTTCAAGCTCAGCCGGTCCAATTTGGGGAATAGAGCAGGTGTATCCCATTACAACAAACAAAGTCGATCTAAAGACCAGCAGTCACAAAGGGGCGCTTAATGGAGGTCAGGGGTGCCCATTATCCACTCACTTAAGGACTAAACACCACCCCTTTGTGACTCCTGGGATGAACACGTTCTTTTTTGAGATGGAAAGGCCTGCAACCAGGCCCAAATGGACCCTGGGAATTTTCGGATCGATCGCATCGTTGGCTTCTCGATGTGAACCCAGCGACTCGCCGAAAGGAGAGCATTCAGTCCTTGAGCTCCGGCCACATCACCGGTGCCTTGGAAGCCACGGAAGCCACGGAAGCCGGCGTTCACGGCCACTCTTCGTTCCAAACCAATGACCCAAAAACATCCAAAAACCCAACGTATCCTCCGAAGAAGGCCGTTTGACTTGGCATATTCCGCCCCCCAGGGCCCCAGTTCACCGTCTCTTTTTATTCTGAACTGCAGCCGGTGCCGCAGAACTGCGAACCTTCGTTTTTCAGCTCATCACTCTCCAAGAGCCACCCCTCCGCCCGGCGCGGTAAGCTGCTCGGCTCGAGCGCTTCCAGCGCTTGAGCGCTTTCCGCCAGCGCTTGGGCAGGTGGCGACTACATGGAGGTCATCTTAGCCACTTACAGCGGAAAGGTCTTAGCTTTCACTCCAAGCGGCGCTGCTCGAGATCCCACTGGGACACAGATGGCCAAGCAGGAAGAGAGGGAAGAGGCTGGGGCATCCGTGACTTGGCGCCATTGAGGAACCCGAGGGGAGACATGTTACAAAGGGTTTGTTTACTGTAATGTGATGTTTCATGTGTCTTTTTATTTGGGGAGGCTTTTTTAATGGGTACTCGGGATTACAAAGGGCTTGTTTACTGTGTTGTGTTGTTTTTGGGGTGCATTGTAGCATTAGTGCTCATTGCCATGATCAAGGATTCGTTTGATTTGAGCAAACATGCTTCTTGAATCAGAACGTGGCCCAGGTTGCTTGCGTTCAACTGGACGGATCGGAGCAGTGGCTATAGATAACACCCACATTTGGGTTTACATTGTGCATCATGGCATGGTGCATGAAGTGTCTTTGTTTGCGGCATGTGTCTAAGTGATTGGGCTGTTCAGACTTAAACCTCCAGCAACCCTTCAGGGCAACCAAGACAGCTCTGGACGGGGGAGTCTCAAAGTACCTCGGAAAATGGGTACAAGTACCTGTATTTTTATGGGGTCACGTCCCATTTTCTAATGTACTTGAAGTCGGGTCCAGGTATATAAATCCAACCATTGGGATCAACCATAAAACAGCCATGGGGGAGATGGCAGTGTGTCTTCTACTGGCCGTGAGCTCGTCAGTCGTGTCCAGAACGACTGCGGTCGACCCCGTGCACAGGCCGTCAATTCGCAGATCATCCATATACGTTACCCTGGGAGTCAAAGACCATTAAAACAATGGTTGACCTGGTTTTTGTATTGTAAAATCCTTAGTTGATTGGGTAAAGCCTATTAAATTAATGGTTGTTGGAAGCCTAGGGGTTACATACAACTATGATGTCTTACTCTAGTCATGGGTCATGCACCTATTAAATGGGTTTCGGGTCAGGGTTACTATCGTAGTTACTACTCATATTCATTCCTATTCTAGATGCTAGATATAAGCAACTTTGGGATAGATCCATTGTTTGGGATTGTTAATAATTGTTTTTGTTCTTTGCGGGGGCGTGATCTTCGATTGTGCATTGACTGTCGATTGACACACACTTTTTGCTCATCATCCTCGTCCAAATATATCCTATAAGCTTTTAGGTATACCTGTCATTCCCAAAAAACTCATCATCCCCTAGGTCTTCTGCCTATAAACTCGTCAACCCCCTGACACATCCTTCTGATTAATTGTTCGGGATTTGGGGCTCCCACTCTTGCAACATTTCACTTCAAGACGGTGCGTTTTCTTGTTAAACATTGCAGAGCTTTGAGAAGGATGAAGCGACGGACACCTCATATGTGATATGTCATGATTAATACTACGTTTGAATTACATATATATACATTGACGATGTTCCCTGCTTCATGCACCATCTCCCTCTAAGCGGGGCTCCCCCAAAAGCGGACCGAACGGCCGACCGAAACAAGCCGAAACCGCGCAGCGTCGGATCCATCCAGCTTCGATTGAGTCCACGGCTCCAAAGTGCCATGATCACTATCTGGCCTTTACTAACTATCATCCTCCAATAATCCAGTCGTACCTCCTCAGGTTCGGTATGACTGGACCCGACAATGGCACCCACCACCTTCTCAATCTTCTCAGAGGGTACTTGGATCCAGAGGGAATGTGTATTTTGATCGGAAGATGATCCCTAGTTTCATTGACACCCATCTTAGAAATACTAAGCATCATCTATGCATGGTTCATGTAGACTCTTGATTCAACAAAGGCAACCCCCAGGCCTGAAGAGGTTTTCAAAATCCATCGGTCCATCCGTGATATATACCCATCCATTCATCCATCGTCCAGGTGATGTCCAGGATGGTGAAAGGCACCAAATCCTCCGTGTCTCGGAACTGGATGTCCATTGACTGTTGGGTCCGGGGTGGTGACGTTCCACAGCCATGGGCGCCATACAGGACGCCGGTTTCCCATGGACCTACTGACACCAAGAAACCTTCGGTTCGCTTCGCTACGAGTCGTAGACCCGGCTCCGGATCGGTAGGTATCCGAGTGCGCAACAGCTCCTTCGAAGCACTCGGTATGTCAAGTGGCATGGCATGGAAGTGTCCCAGGGGTTCCAAACATGCGGCCATGTTCGAACGGAGAATGTCGGACCATGTCAGGGATATGTAGACTCAGGCTATACTGTATAACCTTTTGGGACCAACACTTTTGAGAAAGAATCCCTGGAAACGTCGAGCTTTGTCCGACCGGATGGTGTGTAAGTATGTAGTTGTTTCTTTTTCTTTCAGGACCTGGAGCAAGCTGAGATGAAGCAAGAGCGCAGTCGAAGGTTTCAAGCCTTGGAGCAGGAGGTGGCCAGACTCAAGGCTCCTCGTCTGCCGTTTCAGATGTTCCGTTCTGAGCTCCGCTGCCGCTCGAACGCTCCGGGCAACGGGTTCACGTAATCCTGAGGCGGAAATGGGTGGGTTTTCCTCGGGTTCCTCGGTTCCACCTGGAAGATCAGGACATATCGAATCACAGTTTTTTGGACTACCCCCAAACCATCCAGGTATATCATGTAACATAATACTTATACTCACCCTAGGGATCCAGTCGTACCGAACCTCATGACAGTGTCGAACACATCACCGTACCTGAGAAGGTACTATAGGGGGGGATAGCGGTCATGACCCACCTCTTCCGGTGGCGGTGGGTACCCACCTTCCTGGCATCCGGGTGCGACCCACAGACATGATGCTGATCCATCGGAGGTCTTGTCTTGCGATTCTTGCTGGGTCCAGTGGTCGTCGTCATTGGTTTGGATGATGCGGGATCAGAAAAATTCAACAATGTTTGTCTCAAAACTGAAAACACTGTGCCTTGACCACTGTTTTGACATACTTTGCTCAAAAGCTACACCAGTGCTGCACTCGATGGGAATCTTGGAATTCAGATCGGAGACACACATGTTGCAACGTGCTGTAAAAAGTCTATGGTTCTGAGAAAAAGGATAGACTACCAGCAGTCACAAAGGGGTGCGATCCATGGAGGTTAGGGGTGCCCACTATCCACTCACTTAAGGACTAAACATCACCCCTTGGCATTCTTTCTTATTTCCCCACCTCCCAAGCAACCCTCCACTCTGATCGTCCGTTTCCACCCGCCCTCGGCTTCCCTCCCTCCCCCCCCAACCCACGCGCCTCCACACGTGCGCCTCCGCCGGTACGCGCCTCTCCCAGCGCCTCTCGCCCGTGAGGCAGAGACCGACAAGGCTCGGAAGGACTATCAGAATTTGTCCTCCGAGCAGATTGCCATGCAGACCACCACCAAGGTCTCGCACCGTTTTGGCCTCACCAGCAGCTCAGCGAATTTCACACAGCAGCACCCGTTTATCCAGCGGGCTTTGGAATGGTTTGGGACCCTAACAATCCATGTGACTGGAATATTCACCTTGTATATTTCCTTATATATTGACCCTCAAAACCATCGTAGTGATGGGCTGGTTTGGTCAGGCGAGCGGGTGGCGAACCTGAGTGAAACTGTTTCAGCGATTTTTTCAGACGTCACAAGAAGGGCGCAAACGAACTTTGCCCTAGGGCTCCAACCATATCCTCAGAAGGTGGTTAAGGTGGTTAGACCCCCCAAACCCACCCCAACCACCTTTTCAGGAGGTATGTGGAGCCCTAGGGTTTTAAAGGGGTTTGATGACCGGAGGAGGAGCGGGTGTAATCGGACAGGTCTTGTTTTTTTTTTTTTCCGGTGGAGGGTGGTGGACATGCAGCGATGTCTTCGGCTTCAGAGTTTATATATACAATGATGCCTTGGAAGCTTTTAGAGGGATCAAAGAAATTGAACAATACCTTCCAGTATTCTGAATTATAGACTTAGAGGTATCATGCAGATGTCGCTGGGATCCCGGCAAACACGCAGTGCTTCCATGGCGAGTGTTCTCCGTGGTTTCTCATGTCAATGTGGTGGGTCAACCGATCAAGGAAGTGCACATCGACACCCGAATCGACGCGAGGTCGATTGGTCAACCTGCTTGTTTGTCGGTCAACCCAGCTCTTTTTGGTCCGGATGTGTAAACTTGACCAGAGCCAAACATGATGCATGTTGTGTTCTCAATGTCTTGCTTGAGCCAACTGCACTGCAACCATTGTTTCTTCCCATACAAAGGAAAACAGGGTTTTCCTGTAAATGACACAAAAGGCTGCTGGACGAAAGTCTGGACTCCACCGCCCAACCCAGCCACTCATGTCTCTACTCTCAACGGGTGAAGAGTTCAGCCCCGACATCGAGTAGTTCTACGCAAGACTTAGCTTCAAAAAGCACTCCCCAACTGTCAACCTTCCATGCAGCCCCCCGACAAAAGATGCATGAAAGACACCACTCAGGTGAGGAGGCTTGTTACATTCTCACCTTGGAGTCGCAAGCTGCCATCGAGCTCATCGCTCTCAGAGCTGATGTCGAAGTGGAGCCCCGGCGTGTGATGTCCTACGGCGGTTGTGTCACCGACGACGGTATGCAGACTGATCCATCGCGGGGGAAATTCATTTGATTCCTTTCATGGATGAGGAGGTGCTGTTGAAACAATAGCCATGACTCATGACGCATCTTGTCGAGGGATATGCATGACGCTTTTGTTGCCAAGTACAGAGAGCACTGCAACAGCGGTGTTCACTCGAAGTGTGGTAATTATTAACTTGGCAATTTGGAGACTATTATAGCGTTAAGAGTCGTCAAGAGAGCGGGTCGTTTCAAATTGTCCAGGCTAGTAGTATGAGTATATGAGTACTATGATTTCTTTGGCATGGGCCGTGGCGGAAGTTCCATCCCAGGTTAGCCACAACCGGCACAACCGGCAAGCAGTGTTTGTAGGAGATGAGTTGGAATTTAGTGATCGATATGGAGTTATGATTTCCGCTTGATGGAGAAAGCAAAGCCGACTTTCTGAAAGATCAAAAAGCATCGGAAACCACGTGGAAAGCATCGGAAACCGGGAGAACCAATTCATACGTCGTACAACCAACCAGCACCACACCAGTTCGGGTGGTGAGGAAAATACATGGTCAGGAGCCAAGGGTATCAACTAGCTGGTGCTCCGGAGGGAGCTAAGGATAGGGGTACGATGGGAAAAGTCCTCATTGAGCCCGGGAGCCGTTCGGAGCAGGTCTTTAGGTGCCAGGTACCTGTACCTGGGGCTGCCTGTTCGGGAGCCTGGACACCTGTCCGGGTTGTCCATCAAACCACCCTGCTACTCCGTGTGTGCTAGTCCAGTGAATCAGTAGGATTGCTTGGTGAACTCGCCGCTGTGATCTCCGTTTTGTCTCGACGTTTGGTGGGGCCGAGCCCATTGGTGGGGCCGCCCCGCGCCGCTTCTGAAGAAAATCGAATCTGAAGACGAGACTCTGCAGACCTTCGGATTGGGGAATTGGGGTTTCCCCCCACCATGTTGGTAGAGTCAGGTGAAGAGCTTCTTGCTACTTAAATAGTAATGGCCTCCAACCTACTAGCAATGGCCTCCAACCGCTTCTTGCTGCTACCCAGACGCGCTCATGGGCCCTCAGGACGGGTCTGGAGTCTCAAATCCCTATAGGTTTTGAGGGACCATTCGGGCTGATTGGAGCGTTTGGGTAGTAGTAATGCCCTTGAACTCTATAGGTGAAGTTTGCTTCACCCTGGATTTTCCAACGGAAACCCTTTGATATTCCGAACACATGACCTAAACCACCTGAGCTTCGGGAGTGGAGGAAGACCCAGCCTTAGCCCGACTACACCAGCTGTATTGTGGCGGTTCACCTTGATGTTCCTAATCAGCTTCGAAAGTGAGACTCTCTCTCTGCAAAGCGAAACCAGGATCTATTGGATCACAGCGGCACGTCAGCGATTTTGTCGAGATCTCGAGGGGATCCACAAAATCCCTTGCTGGCCTATTACAGGAGAGGAACCCAACATGCGGCCTGGCGAAGGTAGCAAAAGTGGTTGTTCCATAATGATCTCTGAAGCTTGAGAGTGGGAACAAGATGACTTTCCTTGAAGGCCGAAGGAAGGCAAGAACGAAGGAAACAACTTTTGGCTGTGGGGTTGTTGCACAAGCACGTAACAAGCTACTAACTGATAGGACTAACTCAGCTTGGTTGAACGATTGTTCCTCTCCCTTGAATGCTTCTTGAATGCTTCGGGTCAAGATGAACGTCCACTGTCATGGCTTGCGCACTGTCAGACAGCGTTTTCGCGCCCGCAGGATGCAAGAAGAAGGCAGCCGCTTTCAAATCCGCATGCGTCGCTGGGCAAGTCGCTCGAGTGATGTCGGTGTGCTGTTTACTGTAAGACTGTGTTTCACATGTTCTTTGACTGGCCCATAGGGTCCAGGTACCTCCTGAGGATGGCCTTGGAGGTGAAAGTACTTCCTGAGAATGGTCTTGGGGGGTCAAAGGACATCCTCAGGATAGTCCTGGACCCTTAGGGTGGATTCCAGAGTCGCACCACGTAATGAAGGAGTGGACCGTCTGTGAACACGATCGGAGTGCTCAGAACATGATCGGGATCGGACGATTCCGGCCGTGGATGTTTTTGTTCCCCGCCCATGTCGCCCATTTGGAGAGGAACATTGAAACATATTGAAACCCTCATACTTTTCCCATCGAATTTTCCCTCAGTGGACCAGCCGTATACAAATCATATACCAGGAGTCTCAGCTCGTACCTCGGAGTCACAGTCGTACCTGTTTTGGGGTCATGTCCCATCTTCGGGTCCAGGGATCCAGTCGGGTCCAGGTACCGAAGCAGGTAACGAACCCAGAGGCGACCCTGGACCCGAACCAACTGCTACATGTTGGTTCGGTCCAGTTCACCCTGGGTGTGAGGGTCAAAACCCTACCGAACTGAGGGTCCTTTCTGAGCCTTTGGGAAGTGGAAAACCCACTGTTTGTAGAGGAAAGTCCAAGGGATCCAGTCGTACCGAACCTACGTCGGGTTCCCGTCGGGTTCGGGTGGACCGCCCCAGGAGACGGTGGACGGGCACCGTCTCAGGTGTCGAGCACGGCTAAGACGGCTCACCGACCCTACGTAGGGCTTCAAAGACCTGCGTTTCGCTTCGGTGGGTGGATTTGGGAGGTCGAAGACTACCGGTCACCGGAGATGGGGGCGTTCTTGAGCCCAGAAACACGGTGCTGGGCCCCGAGGTACCGTGGAAGGCTTAAGCGGCACCTTGTCCGCCTTCGTGGTGCCTGAGACACAGCCCAAGACGGCGCATTTGATCACGGTCTCCATCAAGCCCTTAGCCTTGCACGCACCGCGGCGAACGAAGCAGAGAAGACATGCCTTGTGGCGGATGAAAGATGGGTGAAACACAGAAACAATGTAACAAGTTTGGACATGAGCATGACAAGTCTGGGAGATTATGACATCATTTCTACCTTTTTGTTCCTTTTTGGAATATCCTTCCGGGTTCCGTCCTTTTGTGATCTTCTACGGTTAAGACATGGGCAAATCTGTCCTTGTCTTCCCTTCATCCACTGCTGAAGCTGGGGCACGTTCATCTCAGCTTCTGCAGGTGATATCTTTGACCAAAACTCAACAAAATCACCGAACCCGACCTCTCTGATTCTGATCGATCAGGTACCTCCAAAACAGAACACACGCCCCAAAGTCTTAGTATACTGTGCCCTTCTCTCCTTCCCTGGCCCCCCAAGACAACAAATCTCGACCTCCCCCCCAAAAACTAGACGACGAGTGGCCCGAAAGCATTTTTCATCATGTAGGAAGTCAGAGTGCGAGTTATCCGGTAAGTGTGCGGTGTGAAGTGTTACGTAGGTTTCCTGCTAGTAGCTAGTAGCTTAGTGGCTTCAGCTAGATGTCCACACGGCATGAACATGTGAAACATGTGACGTGAACGGGTCATGGAGATTCTCGGTTGCGGAGAGCGTGCCCAAAGTGGAGAGATAAAAGGTGCCCATCATGATGTTCGATGATCTAGGTTATCGACATAGGTGGAGTGGAGTTGATTCGGCGAAACGAAACGAAACGAAACGAAACGAAATGCGAAACGAAACGCGAAACGAAACACGAAACTAAACGAAGTCGAGTGAGCTGAGGTAGTGTGTGGGTTTCTGTGCGTGTGTCTATGTCCGTGTGGAAACGAGTCTGCGTATGTGTGTGTTCGTGGAAGTTGAGGGAGTGTGTGGGTGTCTGTGTGCGATGCGGCCTCCCAAACCCCCCACCGGCGGCCAAGCGGTGACAGCCCAGCTCATCGTCGTGAGCATTTGGGCTGCTGGTAAGGGGACAATGGCAGCCAGCGTGCTGGCTGACCCACTTCAACTATGATGGCAGCCAGCGTGCTGGCTTTGCCATCTG